GGAGAGCTTGTGGCTGCTGCCCAAGCGCAACTCGCATAATTATTTTTCGTAGCTGCTGTGATGGCTGGTGGAACTTGGGACCGAAACAGCCAGCCTCGTTCTTGTTTTGTCGGTTTCATTGGAGGTCACTTTCACTTGCCATAGGGGAGAGTGTGGCCCTGACTCCCAGTGAGCAGCGCAGTCTCTGGAGCCAAGCCTCTAATGGCAAAACAGAAATCCCAATTCTGCATTGCACAGGGGGAAAAAAAACCCATGATCAACAAAAGTAACGCCTGAACCGTATCTCGAAGGCTACCTTAATTTATTCTTTATATATCTTTGATAGTTGTTGACTGCATTCGGGGAGTAGTTGTCCAAAACAACAAAATCTTCACATCTCAGTAAAAGATCCATGAAATCAAGAACAGATCATCATGATTTCATATGATTTTTTTACATGGGATCCTTGCCAGATCACCATTAAATCAGAGACCCTATCTATGTCCACACACAGCAATCGCTCAAGACAGGTTTCAAAACTAGAAGACATCTCAATGTTTCCTGTTCGATTGTATATCATGCACAGATGATTTCTGAGTTTTAGTCTGTGAGGCCAGATGGAGCATATGATTGTAGAGACTGGTTTGGGGAGTATCCTACTTATAAATCTTGTGGATCCATACGTCAGAGCCATTTTTGCACCACTCTGGAGCTATGCACCGAAGGACCTCTCATTTCCTGCTTTTAGTCTGTGGGCATTGATGGCCCCTAGGACTGGAGAGTGGTTTGTAAAAATCAGGTGGATCTGTGAGGGTCTGTGCTCTGGTGGTTTTACATCACTTCAAAGCTATGTACTGACATACCTATGAATTTTGTGGTATAATCTGTTGGCATCTGTGGGATCTGTAATTGCAGAGTGGCTTGGGGATTGACAATGACAATTTTTGTCCAGTCGTGTTCAACTCTAGGAGGTGGTGCTCATCCCCGTTTCCAAGCCATAGAGCCAGCGCTTTGTCCAAAGACAATCTTCCGTGGTCACATGGCCAGTGCAACTTAGACACGGAATGCTGTTACCTTCCCACCGAAGTGGTCCCTATTTATCTACTTGGATTTGCATGCTTTCGAACCGCTAGGTTGGCGGGAGCTGGGACAAGTGACGGGAGCTCACTCCGTTGCGTGGATTCGATCTTACGACTGCTTGGTCTTCTGACCCTGCATCACAGGCTTCTGCGGTTTAGCCCACAGCGCCACCGCGCTTGGGGATAATCTTCTGTAAATATCAGGTGGATCCATGAGGATCTGTGCTTGGATCAGTGTTTTTGTTCCATTGCAAAGCCATGAAAGCTGAAAGACCCTATTTCTGAGTAGTCATGCAAATAATTGCTGTACTGACCAGGTACCACAATTAGAATATTTAATTTCATAGAGTTATATGTTGCAGAGCTTCCCTTTTGCGAAAGAATTTGGTCAGCTTGACAAAAATAGATTGAAGTACTGTGAAGATGTAGAATCTATGCTGTAAGGGCACAGTTTCTCCACTCCTCTTAACGGACAAGCCATACTCAGGTTTTTGTTTCAAATCATCAACTTTTATTTCAGTTCCATCCAACAACATGTTAATAGGTATCAACAGTTCCGTTTCCACCTTCTCCTCCAATGCAGAGGGGATGAAGAGGTTCACTGAGTGTTTTGCTGGAGTGTCTATTTTCCCCACTTCTTGTATATTAGTCCCAGGTCTTAACGTTTCTCAAGGGTTCCATGACACTGGCAAACACAATAGGGGCAATGTTTAATCAGTGCACTACTTTCCCCTCTCTTGAAGTCTTCATGGGCAGGGCAGTTCCACACCATCTAGTGAGTCAAGATTCCTGCAGGGGTGAGGATTCTTCTGCTCAGCTCTCTCGCTCCAGGCATAACTTCAGTCAGAGATTAGGCTGAATATCAGGGAAAACTTAACTGTTAGAACAGTATGACAGTGGAACCAATTATCTTGGGAGATGGTAAGTGCTCCAATGCTCTAAGCCACTGGTTCTTAACCTTGGGTTACTCAGGAGTTTTGGACTGCAACTCCCAGAAGCCTTCACCACCAACTGTACTGACTGGGGTTTCTGGGAGTTGCAGTTCAAAAGCATCTGAGTAACAAAGGTTAAGAACCACTGCTCTAAGCATTCAAGAGAAAATTGGATAGCCACCCATCAGCTGTGCTTTGATCTGGATCCCTGCCTAGAAGGGGGGGGGATGTTGGACTCAATGGCCTTATAGGCCCCTTCCAACTCAGTCATTTTATGATCCTATGAAAAATAGGACTGATCAGCTCTGTTATTTCTCTCCTAGTACTATTGTTAACAAATGTGTATGTTTGGAAACACAAAACCAGGTTGAGAAGTGCAAAATTTCTGGTGATAATTACCTGTACCATGTACTCGATGAGATAGAAACAGGGGAGGCTGGGTTATTTTGTTTTTCTACTAAACTTATATTTTGCAGGATATTCAGAATACAACCTGGTGCTTGCAAAAAGAGGAATACTCTTCCAAAATGTCTAGGATCGATAAAATGAGTATTCTTGGTGTGAGGAGTTTTGGCGTAGAAGACAAAGACAAGCAAGTCATAGCTTTCTTTAGTCCCTTAACTATCTTGGTTGGGCCAAATGGCGCTGGAAAGACGGTAAGACTCTGGTGGGTTTACTTATGTCTAGATAAGCTGCATTATCTCACTTTCTGAACTGATGGATACACGATTAATTACAAGTTTCCGTCAGTTTCAAAATGTGACTGCCCAGTGGGGATGTCATTGTTCAATGGTTTGTGCTTTGGCACAGAGATCAGTTTCCCTAAGTCTTAGTGGTGGGTGTGGTCCTTTGTGCAGCCATCCTAAATAAGTTGCTGGACTCTTGTTTTGGATCAGTAGTGTGTATCTATATGCCTGTGAGTTATTTGTCATTGTGCTTACGTGCCATCAGTTGTTTGAAAATATCTTGTTCCAGTCTACTTTAGTTCACTAACACCAAGTATAGCAGTGTTTATACATTTGGTTTCTTATTTTATGGTTTCCAGTTTTTCTTGATTCATGCTTCTCATATTCCATTTGTACGTATTGTGCTGCATCGGACTTTGCTTTCACTTCTACTGTATGTATGTCAGCCACTATATTTCAGCTTTAATCTAGTTGTCATTAGCAGCAGTGCTATTTCTACTTGTCCTTTGCTCTTCCTGAGTAGCTGATTGAATGATTTCTGACCTGGGAGTCTCATCTTCTAGCATGATCTCTTGTTTAATTTTGTACCGTCTCATCATAGTGGGTTTTTATAGTAAAAAAAGATCAGCAGGGGTTTACCATTGCCAGCTTTTGTGCAGTGCTAACAAAAGATAGCCCTGTGCCTCCTCTGCCAGTGTCATCTTCAGCTGCTGCTGCTGCCCCCATCACTATTGGAACTATCTATTCTGTTCTCCTGATGTGATCGTTACTCCTGAAGAGGGTGGGTGCATCTTAATCTGGGGTTTCAGTTGTGAACATTTTGTCTTTGGGTGACCCTGCTAGGAATCCAGGCTCATAACGGAGTCTAGCCTCCTGACAGCATTGCTCTCGGCTTCACTGACACACTCAAACCACCACATTAAGGTGTGCATCCAAGAAGGAGTTATATTATATTTGAAAAATTGTGAGTTGTAGTATACTAAAAATTGGAAAACATGGTTGTAGAAGACATTGAGATGCTTATTCACAATGATGTTTCTGAATGCTTTCAGGAAGCCTAATTCATATATAAATTACATATTACATGACTATTTTGTCTTTCGTGGTTAACGCCTGACAAGGTTGTGGCTGGGTCAAAGAGGCCCACACTAACCAATCAGCTGCACTAGTGTGGTTAGATTCTATGAGGGTTCAATGTGTGGATGGCTGGAGAAAACCTTCCTGCTCTGTACCCCTTCCCACTACTCCAGGGAGTTACTAACAATTCACAAAGTGTTTACCAGGTAGCAATACCAAAATGCTCTGTATAGGGAATCCAGCATAAGTAATCCAGTAGGTGGTCAAGGTAAAGCCTTTCTTTAGTACCAAATAACCCTATTTTCCCAAAATAACTAAGCTCCTACAATTTTTTAATTTTTTTTATTTTATTGAAGGTGTTCCAAAAAAGAAGTCAAAAGAATAAAGTTCTAAACATTCCCAAAATGTTCTGACTCCTATTCTCTAAAGATGGCAGACACAGAGACTGGTGAAACATTAGGAAGAAAAACAGCCCAAACAGCCCAAAAAACCTACAACAATCATTTCCAAAATAGTTTCAAAATCCAGAATCAGTCAAAAAAGGTGTGGAGCAAATAAGCATTCAGAAGATATTGAGGCAACGGCAATTTCAGAACAGAAGAAAAAGCTAACTATCCTATTCTAATACTTATAATCAAGTATAATTTCAGCATGGTTTCAGAGTATGTGTAGAGTACAAATCAGGTAACAAAACAGCAATTGAGCACAGTGCTTTCCTAAGAGAGAATAAGCTAAATTAAGCCAGTTCTTGTTCCATTTTTATAGCCACCATTTCACTTTCCAGACCTTTCGAAGGAATTCATCAGTTGGGCCTTGAGTCACCCCAAACTGTCTTCCCTTTGGCCTGCTTGTCCCAGGTACAAGCCCAAATAGACCTGTATTTCAAAGAACAACTGAAACCATCAACCTTTCCCCCCTCCCAATTTTCCAGTCCCTTGACAACAGCTGACATAGAGTCAGTCCATATCAGAAACATAATACTTGTAGAAGAAGACTTGCAAATTGTGCAGACAAGGGTCTGTGCAGGGTCTGTACATCTAGTAAGGGAAGCTAATCTGCAAAGTTCAATGAGGCCACCTCCTCTGCTCCACTTGAGTACTGTAGACCACTGGCATGTCCATGTCAAACTGTGGGGGAAAGAATAAATGCAAGTGTGCTACACGTTATACTTTTATCTCATTACATGAAAACAACTGAGTGGTAGCTATTTTTATTTCATTATTAACACTTATTTCCATTTTCATTAGACAATCATAGAATGCCTCAAGTATATTTGCACTGGAGACTTTCCCCCTGGCACTAAAGGAAACTCATTTGTCCATGACCCAAAAGTAAGTATAGTATTAAGAGAGTTAGGTTGTTTGACAACTAGTAGCAGCTACCAGTAGGTAGACAAGCATCATACAGTTGCTATATTGACAATAATGTAGGTATTAATATGTGAATTAATATTTTCTTAATTGAAGAAGACCAACAAATGGAATATGTTGTATATGCCTTCATGGTCAGGGAATTTGCCCTTAATATAACAAATTGGAAGTTAAGTTGTACAGAAACGGGATGATTGATACATCTGTATATGGAAACAAAAGTGAATTTCTGTTTGACAGCTTATTACCATATCATGCCATGACATCTGGGTGAGTTTTAACCAAATATGGAGAGGGGTGCTCTGATTTTAAAAAGTAGGCTATGTAGCATGCTCAGAAATTATTTTGGGGACCCTTGGCAGCCCTCAGATTAGTTTCCCTTAAATATCTGGATGGATTTTCACTAAACTTGGAGGATATTTTTGGCATAGTCTGACTACGTGGTGTACAGTAGAACCATTTTGTGGTTCTGGGACACCTACTTGTTTTTTTTAGTGCCTACAGAGTTATGTGGCACCTCATTTTAAAGATTTTGATGACATGCATTCAAAAATGTGCATGTTTTGAAAACCTGCATGATTTGAATTATGCTGTAATTTTATGGACTAAATCAGGCTTGTCCAACCTTGGCCCTCCAGATGTTCTTGAACTTCAACTCCCAGAAATCCTGGCCAGCAGAGGTGGTGCTGAAGGCTTCTGGGAGTTGAAGTCCAAGAACATCTGGAGGGCCAAGGTTGGACAAGCCTGGACTAAATGTTCATTACTTGGGAGACATGCTGCCTGGAAGATTCTGGGAGTTGTACACCTTGAATAAGTTGAGTGGCTACCAAAATGAGAACAAGAGAGAGGGCAGGCAAAAGAGAGAGAGAGAGAGAGGAGACAGGACATTGGAGTGAGGGTGGACCTCATGGGATTCTGACCCAGGCAAAATGCGCCTGTTGGCTAGTCCAGAATAAGAAAATGATTCATTTGTGACCAGAATTATGAACTCTTATTTTGTAAAATACTATTTGTTCTGCAATTAAAAAATGATTATAACCTGAATGAAGCGCTGTTCCTCTGATTGCGTTTAATGTACTCAATTATACTTCATCCAGTGAAGCTTTCTGGAACTGACGTCAGTACTAGAAGACAAAAAAAATATTTTCATTTTCCCTAGCCTTTTGGATGCTGTTTCATAAGTATCACTGTCATACTTACAACTTGTCTGATGTGATTTTAACAGCTTTTATTATTTTCACTGTTCGATTGTCTCAGTGCTATAGTCAGTTGTTTTCATTCTGAGATGCTGTCGAAACTGTCCAATATTGAATGGTGGAAGATAAAAATCTACAATAACGTGTATGGATTTTTAAATACAGTATTTGTGTGTCATTTTCCCTCCCTATGGAGATCTTGGATTTGAATTGTTCCAGTCTTGCTAGACCAGAGAGATAAAAACTTTTAACTAAAGTGGTATTCTTTGGTCATTGTCAAGGAGAGATCACTGCTGTAATCATCTACATCTGTTTCAGATATTTAGTTTAAGCAAAATAGTGATAAAGGTGCATCACTGTGTGTCAGTTCTTGTCCATCACAGGGACTGCCCTCATTGATACAAAAATGGAAGCAGACTGACATACTTATCCTGAAATCATATCTGTTCTCTCCGTTGAAATTACATGGGTGCACTATGGAAGAAGTGATGGTAGTGATTATATCAGGATTACCGTAACTGATTTTATTTTACTGTGTTTATTTTTTTTCTTGTCAAAGGTTGCCAATGAAACAGATGTCAGAGCTCAAATTCGACTTCAGTTTTGTGATGTCAATGGAGAACTCGTAGCTGTCCAACGATCCATGGTATGCACTCAGAAGGGAAAGAAGACAGAATTTAAAACTCTTGAAGGAGTCATTACCAGAACAAAGTGAGTGTGCTAGCAGACAGGAACATTGTCGCACATGTTGCTATGTATATACCTTCTCAGGCTTTTCTGATAACTTCCTGCTTATGATCAGATGATATTAAAACAAAATTTTGAGCACTCAAATTATTTCTCAATTATAGTGGCTGCACCATGTTATGTATAGGGTTGCATGCAATCACAAATGATGTTGTGCAGTGTATTCAGTTTGCCTTAGTCTTTCAGGGCTAAATTCAAGAAGGAAGATGGTACCAATAGGTTCCAGTTTTCTGTCATTGTGGAACATCATCCAACATGAACAAGCCTTAACACTGGTCTTGAACTACCTTTTTCTTTCATCATGGAATTTTCTTGCTTTTTGAAAAGGAAATGTTTTCTGTCAATGTTGACAATCTTTTCATGTCCCCAAGCTATTTGAACCTGTTTTCTTGCAAATGAATCTGTATAAGAAATGGAAATATATATATTTCCTGATGGTAATAATGATTTCATTTTACAGTGTGCACAATGATTGTATTTTATGTTTATTCCTCATTATAAACCTATTCATCTGAATCTAGGCTTGACAATCTTAGAACAAGTAATTATTTTTGAAAACTTTGCCTGTTTCTGCCAAGAAATGAGCTTTTAAAAAAGCATTGAATGTAAAGGTGTGTAGCATAAAAACCCTGCTTCTATTTGTCTGCAGTTTGGGGGATCATAATAGGCTGCTATGGACTCAAAAACTGTTACACCTGCTGAGACCATAAAGTTTTAATGCACAGAAAAACATTACAGTATAGTCATTTGTTGATTTTCAGATATTGGCATTGGGAAGCACACATCCCCCTTAGAATATATGAATAACTGCAGCACTCTTGTTTCAGAATGCAGCTGAGCAGCTGAGACTTTAATGCTAGAGTTGGTGCTAACAACAACTCTTGGCTCACTTGTCTAGGCCGTTTTGGCATTGGAAAGATGAATGAAAACGGCCAACGCTTGCTGGAGTTTTGCTGCTATTATGGTCTCTGCGTCACCAACACGTTCTTCAGTACAAAGCTTCAACACAGAGTTTCTTGGAGACATCCAAGATCCAAGCATTGGCATCAGCTCGATTTGATCCTCACTAGACGTTCAAGCCTTCCTAGCACTACGATCACAGAGTGCTAACTGTGATACTGATCACTCCCTAGTGTGTAGTAGAATAAAATTGCGAACAAAGAGACTGTACCACACAAAAAAGGAAGGAAGACCACGTATTGACATCAGAAGTGGAGAAATTTGCCCAAGCGCTTGAGGAAACCCTTCCAGGCCCAGCTGAGGCAAGTGCACCTGAACGTTGGGAACATTTCAAGGATGCTGTCTATAACACTGCCTTGTCCACATTTGCCATGAAGACCAAAAAGACGGCCGACTGGTTCGAAGCTCACTCGGAGGAGTTGATTCCAGCCATCAAGGATAAGAGGAGAGCTCTAGCAGCATACAAAGCCTGCCCTAGTGAGTACAACTTGCAAGCTCTTCGAGCTGCTCGTAGCCAAGTCCAACGGACTGCCAGGAGATGTTCCAATGATTATTGGCTCCAGCTCTGCTCTCAGATGCAGTTAGCAGCAGACACAAGTAACATCAAGGGAATGTATGATGGGATCAAGCAGGCTTTAGGTCCAGTACAGAAGAAAACTGCTCCCCTGAAGTCTGCCACAGGCATGTTCATCCAGGACCGAACACAGCAGATGGACCGCTGGGTGCAGCACTACTCTGACCTGTATTCCAGAGAGAATGCAGTAACTGAAG